GTTGATAATGTGTTGCATGAATTTGTAGCCGGTGACACTTCACATCCTCAATTTCCTCAAATTAGTGCGTTGTTGGATAAGATTTCCAAGGATCTTCAGGCTAATGGTTATGAACATGATACATCATCTGTGTTGCATGACATTGATGATGAAGAGAAGGAGGCTGTGATTAGATACCACACTGAGAGAGTCGCTGTTGCTTTTGGTCTGATGAACACTGAACCTGGAAAAGTGATCCGGATAGTTAAAAACCTTAGAACATGTGATGACTGTCATCAGGCACTGAAATTTATTTCGAAATTATACAAGAGAGATATAGTGGTCAGAGATAAAAGCAGGTTTCATCATTTCAGGAATGGACAATGTTCTTGCAAGGACTATTGGTGATTAAATGGTATATTTCTCTTCGAAAACTGATATTGATCATTTAGCTTATACACATTCTGCTTCTTGCTTGCTGTCTATATTCCGGGAAAAAATCAATTGAGTTTGGATTTTGAAAATTTTGAAAGGCTTAAAGTTATGTTCTCAGTGACATTAGTAAGTGATTCAATATATATTTATGTTCAAGTGTATATCAGTCATATGTCTCCTAAATACTCACTCTGCCTATGGAAGTCATACTACTCTTAAAAAGGAGTCATTAATGAAGTAATGCTCAAGCGAAGCTTATTCTATTTAGTGCAGTTTGTAGAAAAATATTCACAATTAACTTAAACATGGTATGTTGGTTAAAATAACAAATAGGGGGTAAATTTTAAAAGTTTACGTAGCACTAATGACGAGATTGTAACAAATGTGCATCACCAAAGTCATTCCGGATTATCCGGTATGGCAAATCAGTTAATCACAGCTAAAGTAAAATTGTTGTTCCATGGAAACATTTAAGCGTTGCATGAATTTGACACTCATCAAATTCAATTTTTTTGTTAGTTGCAAGTTAAGTAATGCCTCTATTTGTTAGATGATGCCAATAGCCCAATACAAATGATGTTTTTGAAAGTCCGTAGTTATGTTGAATGTGAAATCAATCCCAGCAGAACTAGGATCTAGATAATACTAATGTATACGGCCATACACTATAAATTAAAGTTGTCTTGGAAATTACAATTTTTATGTGCCGTTTATTGTGCATTTTCGAATGGGGTGGATTTTCAGGATGGATCTTAGTGGATTCAGAATTTCATTTATCAAAGGATGAATTTAATATATGTGCTTGTTTCAAACAGGAATATGGTGAATGAGACGATTGATTTGCAGTGAAGAACATTGTGAGGAAGGCTTAGGAAAGGTTTCCAGTTTCCACCTGGGGGCCACAGTGGTAATATGAACATTTTAGAGGATAAGAATCCCGTCTTCCCAATCTGTGCAAGATAGCTCTTTGAGACTGGTGAGATGGCTTTTTAGGCTATATAATTATTAGCTAGGTGCCTAGGCATCTACTCCATATATTTTTCTTCATTTGTACATGTATATCTAATTAATTAATCTACCTAAGTATCCCTGCATATCATGGTGCATCCTGACTTATTTTGTGACGAATGTAAAACGAGTCTTGGGATGGAACACCAATGGTTCTGTTTGTGGAACTAATATTGTGGCTCCATATCATTCTTAGAGTTAGTGCCAAATCGTTATCCTCTTGGGTTTTAGTACGAGTTATTAGTAAATAATGAAGCATAGATTAGTTCATCCCTAATGATTTGCACTCTGCTGATCAATTTTTTAGAATGAATCTTTAGCTTGCAAGTGAAGCACACATCAATTTTTTGGAGGTTAAGTTCTCGTTTAACATAAAATGAGCTAGATTACCTTCATCCAAACAACATTTATTACTTAAACCTAGGTTCACCTTGTATATTTCCAAACACAATTTTACGTATGGACCTAGGTTCACTTAGGTTAACCTAGTTTTTATTAAAACTTAGATTTACTTTATTGCACCAGGTTTACTTAACTTCACCTTATCCAAACGGAGCATAAGTGTTATACATAATGAGACGATATGCCAGCTCAAAAGATCATGAAATTTAATGCTTAGTAAAATCATACTGAGAAATAGAATTCATATTATCTGTCTTTGACATTGTGATTAAGACATTTTTATTGAAGTAATGAAGATATGCAGTTGAACACTCAAGCAGATGGCAAACATATCTGAAAATGGCTCTTGATACAGATTTAAGATAGCAGGTATGTGAGCTGCTGTGATTGTTAATATTGATTCCCTTTATTTATATAAGGAAGTTGGTCTTCTTTCAATAATTGTCTTTGAATTTGAAAAACTTTGAATTTATTTTTATGCTATTGTGCTACTAGAAGTCCAAAACTTGTGATGGTTTTCAAAGCATTCTTCTCAAAACTCTAAATAAAAAAGTATGAGATGTTTGAATAGCATATCACTTATTCTCATTGAGAAATCAACCCACCACTTTGTTCAATTTAATATGATTGAATATGATTAAATGCTTTTGGGATTTTTGAGAATATAAGAATAATTTGGTCCATGACCACCTGCTCTTACTAATTCTAACATTTGTTAAGTTTCATTTTTTTGAAAAAGGTTGCATCTTTAGGATTTTATTCTGTCTTTCTGTTGGCATATCATAGGATCTACTGTGATCAAGAGGCTGCTGCTCATGTGCATCTTAAGAATTTACTAGGTATTTACTACAAGGAAATACATGTATATGAATAAAAAATGTTTTAGTTTAGGGTAAAAACATGCTTAAACTTTTATTCCCACACTTGTAGTCATTAACTCATTGGTTGCCATTTTGTTGTTTTAGTTCCTAGGGACCAGAGCAGTGTCATTCTTTCATGCTCTCAGAGCCTCAGACACTCCACTAACCCCAACTGTGACCTTTTAAAGCATTTAATTTCTCTGTGTATTGAATGTGGAGTGAGGATAAAAAGTGAAATATGTCTACTAAAGTAAAAAGTGATGCAGTGAGGTTACTCTCCCCTGTTGAATGTACAATATTGTAATTGTTTCAAACACCAGCAATATACTATGCTAGTCCCTAGGGACCAGAGCAGTGTCATTCTTTCATGCGCTCAGAGCCTCAGACACTCCACCAACCCCAACTGTGACCTTTTAAAACATTTTATTTCTCTTTGTATTGAATGTGGAGTGAGGATAAAAAGGGGTTATTTATAAAGTGAAATATGTCTACTAAATTAAAAAGTGATGCAGTGAGGTTACTCTCCCCTGTTGAATGTACAATATTGTACTCCCTCGGTAACACTCATATCTTCCCACTTTCCTTTTTCAGCCATAATATTCATATCTTCCCATTTCTAAATCTTCTCATCATACCTCAATAATTTTAAAAATAATACACTATTACAACTACTTTTATGGATTTATCGTTCAATACAACACACTATTTCATTATCTTCCAATCATGACCTCAATCATTTATATCTCATTTCACTATTCTTAATCTCACCTACTTTCAAATGAGAAGATATATCTGTGACACGGAGGTAGCAATTGTTTTAAACACCAGCAATATAGTACTATGCTATGTGCTTCATCCGTATGTTGTCTACTTTTTCAGATCTATGAAGACCCGCATCCACCAGCTTGTTATGTGGAGCCTGCTCTAATATATCAATCATTACAAGATGGGACCAAGAAGACGCACACATTCTTGGTAGTGTATACACATAAGCTGATACACACACACAATCACACATCATATTATGTACCACAGTTAATTTTAGAGTAGGAGGTTTTTTATTCAGTGCAAAACAAGAGTAAAAAAAGCCTAGTTGTATTAAATCTGTCAAGGATTGTGATCGTTAATATTTGGACATCCAACTGTTTGGATTCGTACGTCTATATACCATGTTCTCATTCTCCATTTTCTAGTACACTTCTATCGCTTGCACTGTCATATGTTTCTTTTTGTGTTTTTGTGGTTCGGACTTCGGAATGGGCGAGGGCTTCCTTTTAGTGTTAGTAGAGGGTCTAGTCTTTCAAAAAAAAAAAAAAAGAGGGTCTAGCCCTTCAAGAGGTGATGGTTCCAAATATTTCTAAGTTTACATTCTTCCGTATATTAATTTATCATCTTATTGTAATGCCAAATATTCTTTGTTCTATGAGTGCTGAATTTTTTGTTTTCTTTTGTTTTGAAACCACCAATACTTATTTCTTTGGATCACTGCTTTCACAGGAAAATGATAGTGGTATCTTTTGTTTGAAGTTCTTATTGGTACCAAGAGCGTTAAACTTGAGAGGGTTGTAATGCAAAAGTATCTTACATTTTCGAGAGTACGCGAAGACATCTTTTTTTAGTTAGATGATGTATGTCGCATTGACGCATATAGACGAATATGCTCCAATTAAAAAATGGGGTTTTTACAATAACATCCAAACCTTAGTCCCAAAAGAAATTGGGGTCGGCTAAGATGAATGTAGTGTCATGATAACTTTATTTTCATTATAATGATTTCATTTCTACTGTAGTCACTAATCACAATTTTGTAAACAATTTTTATTTTAAATAAATATTTAATTATTTCATTAAAAAATAATTTAACCTAATTTCCTTCCGGGTTCGAAAGTAACACTTGAACTTTTTTTACTCCACTAAAAGACTTAAAGTTACATCATACTACCTCTGTCCCGGTAGACTTTGTCAAGTGCAAAGTAAGTGAGAAATAAGAATAGTAAAAAATTTGTAGTTGAGATTTGTGCAGAGGAGAGAGAAAATTGCAGAATCACAAATTAGTTACTTTAATAGGAAAGTGACAAAGTTTTTTGGGACAACCAAAAAGGGAAAGTTGGCAAAGTCCAATGGGACGGAGGGAGTATACATTTTCTATGAAAACTTACCTGCATGTTTTTGCAACTAATGTTTGCTTTCTATGCAATTGTGACAAGCTACATAGATTTTCATTTACAATGAATCTTTGATATACTGAGGTCTAGTGTTCGTATTGTAAAAACTGTGATGAAGCCAAGTAAATGTGAAGTTGCTCGTTGTGTCAGTATGATTTTTTACTTGCTCATATTTGCATTTGCCTTTTACTCCTATGTCAAAAGTATATGGACATTTTTTCCCAATTTCAATACAGACACTTCCTGTACTCGACTAGTTCTTGAAGTGCTTCAGGTTCTCCACCAGTCCATCTGGCTCTACATAATAAATATTGGCAAACCCCATTTTTAAACTCACAACTTGGTTTGTTAGCCTATTGAACCCCCCAACTTTTAACCAGTTATAAACAGCACATCATAGGTAAACTAAAGCCCAATTGATATACTAGAGGGCTAAAGCCCCACAAGTATACCAAAGCCCCTCTATTTGTTTTGCATTTCCATCCAAACACAGATATTTGGATGGACTTGAAGTGGGGAAACAAGCCAAGTTTAGTGGCTTAAAAATGGGTTTAGCTGAAACATGTCTGTCCTATTTACAACGGAGGATATCACATCCAGAAGAGTGAGTGTGCTCACAGATCATGACTGTCCTTAAGCAAATCCATCAAGCACGAATCATCTGCACATGTTTGGAAGAGTAAAAAGAAGGGTAAAACTTTAAGGAAAAATTTACATGAATAATCTCACTGTTTCATGTTATCTAATATTAATCCCAAATACACGTAATTCTAACCTAAATCTCAAATTTATATGTGGTCTTCCGCCATTGATCCAGGTTACCCACAACTTCCGTAAAAAACTAAAAAAACAAAAAAAAAAAAGAGAAATGATTGATCTGCATCTGAATGGACTCGTTCATCCTCATCATCAACTTTACTCTTCATCTATGGAGAAGACATGAAATAAGTGTTCATCTTCCTCTTCACAATCATCTTTGACCACGATAGTAGTTCAATTCACGCAGAAACGAAGGTGTTGCCGGCACTTTCATATTCAAGTCATCTCTCTCGTCAAAGACGGAACGGAGGGGCATCCTGCTTCTGGTGTCGACGAATATGGTGATGAAGAAGGGCCTCTGACTCTGCTTCTAATGGAACGGTCGAATGGAGGTCCTAGGTCCTCGCCAGAATAGTAATCCTCTGGTCTCTGATGATTCATCTAACAGCTGCGGCCAGTTTCTTCTTCAGTCCTTGTCTTTAGTTGGATGACTGGAGTTGTAAAAGAAATTAAGAAGAAAAATGGATGGAAGAGGAGATCCAATTAAAGAGAAGAATGGTAAAGGAGAAAGGAAGGAAGAAAAGAAAAATATTCAAGAGAAGAGAAAGGAAAAGAAAATGGAAAAGTAAAAATGTGTGAAGTCCAATCAGATTAAAACACGTGTCAGGTGACCTGATGAACCCTTTTATTCCGGTCATGGGTTTAATTTGAGAAGATGCCCTGTATAAAGTAAATTATTTTAGAAATACTCATATTTGGGGTTGATATTGGAAGAACCAAAAAAAGGTGGGATGATTCATGTGATTTTTTCCAAACTTAAAACGTGATATGTGAGATTGAGGTTTTACTTGGGTCCAACCAAAATGAAAGACAGAACGATGAACTCTTCAGAGCAGGAATTGGGAATAATGAAAAGTGATATCTATATATCACTAAGTCTTTGTTTGGAAAATGGTACTGGGAGGAAAACAAAATATTACTAAAAATAGTATTTTATGTTTGATTTTGCCTTGCAAATATGGAGAAAATAGAATTTGGTTGATTAGTACAACAAGAATTCCTTAGACTTTATATTTTCTTCCTCGGTAATTTTCGAACTAAAGTGAAACAGACAGCAAGGAATGAGGAACTAACCATCCTGGGAGAGTGCCTCCACTGAAGAGTCTTCATCGCTGCTTCTGCAAAGGCTTGGGCGGCTTCAGCTTCAGCTTCTGCTACTTCTGCAACCCTTGCAGCCTCTGCAGCTTCAGCTATGGCAGCTTCTGCTTCGGCTACGGCTTTAGCGGCAGCTTCTGCCACCTCTATACGAGTCATACTACTCCTCGCCTTTGAAAAATGTGGGTCCGTCTCCGGTTTGGGTGACAGGTTCTGCCTTCCCTCCAATAGTAAAGCGGGAGAGTTTCTTCTTTTGGAAAGTGTTAAAGTTGTTGCTATTGTATATTTCCGTTTCATCTGTGGGGGGGGGGGGGGGCTGAAGTATTAAATCATGTCTCAATTGCAAAAATGAAGTGATACTTAATCGAAGAAACTGTTTTTTGCAACATCAAAGAAACTCTTCGATAACTACAAACTAACAAAGTGTTAAACTAAAGTGATTTACTTATAAAATTTAAAATAAAGGGTAAAGCATGTTTAGAACCATTAGACCACAATTGCGATGCCGCCGATGCACCATATTTGTTCTTATTTTTAATGGGAATAACCCTTTTTATTTGAACCAAAACATAATAGGAAAAACAACTTTAAATAGTATTATCATCTGTCAACCAATAATATTACATACTATAAAAATGATAATTTATACCCAACTATTCAAATGTATACAAAAATCATATGGAACCACTTTCTGGCTATAAATCCGGCAACTTAACCCATTAAAAACTAACATCATATCATCAAATAAGCTTTATTTGATGATGTGGAGCCAGTTTTTGATGCTTTGGTTGACTAGATTTGTAGTTGGAAAGTGACTCTGCATCACATTAGTCACATATTTGAGTAGTTGGAGTAGGAAATTGCTATTTACATAGTATGTATCACTTTTGGTTCATGAGTGATAGTTGGTATTACTAAAAGTTATTTTCCCAACATAATACCACCTTGATAAGTTTTCCTGTTGCAGTCAAATACTTCAGTTTGGCAGACAATAGCCTTTTAAAATCTGGAGGAGCCCAGTATTGATCCTACATGACATCAGAGTTTAATTAAGTGAAGAACATTGAGTTTATGTTCAGCTGAAGAGGGCATATGGTGTAACCTTTAAAGAGTCGTGGGTTTCTAATTTCTAAGTTTAACTAAAATTCAAGATAACAGTTACCTCTATGTAAGAAGAGATAGATGCCTTGTTAGAACCACCAGGCTCTCTCAAGTTGCTTATGGCATCCATGATAAGATTGTCCAATCTATAAAGAAGGGAGGAAGATATACTAGATTGATCCACCACATCAATGCATCATAATTCATAAAGCGAAAAAATTAGATTCAATTAATACAATACCTATTTTGTATTTTATTGCAATGGACAAACAGACAGGTAATCAAACATTTCAAGCAGAAAATGCATTTCATCTAGAACTACTCAATGACAAATTAAGATATTCACTAATTCACGTGATTCTAAAAATTCAAACAATTAGTACAATCACTATAACACAAAGGCATAACAGTAAGGAAATATATACATATGCATACATATGTGTAAAAAAAGGTTCTGGAATATCACATAGATTAGTAACCCTGCTAGAAAATTATACTAGAAAATCAAATAATGATAGAGATGCTGACCTTCCGTTGAAGGTACTGAGAGCTCTAACTCAAAAAATTAGGAGCCAAGCAGGAAAAATAGCATTTCAAGGATCATATTTATGCCCCTTTTTGTAGCACTGACCGGGTTATTCTGGTTGTTGATAGAATAAGTACCCATGAGTTACTTATTTGGCTTATATCAATTTTAGAAATCACCTATCCTTTCAGAAAGTTCAGCTATTTCAATCCAATAACCCTTGCTAAAGGGCTCTTACTCATAAATACAAGTGTCACATTCAGCAAAGAAAAAGAATGATGTGCTGAAACATGAGCAATTTCTGCCAATGGATTGGTAACGATCAAGATGTAGTACATGATAGATAAGCATATGACCTAATGATAGATTTTCTTGAACCACCAACCAGCGGAGAACCACTAGAAGTTGCTACTGGCTTGACCTTAATAGTATCTTCATCACTATGAGGTGAAACCTTAGCAAGTGTACTTGGGCTTTCATCCTGTTTGGAGGTTTGATGCATCTTTTTAAGAGCTAACCTAGCCTTCTCTCTAGATCCGAACCCATTTGCCATGACACTCATGTTTCTCCACTTGTCCTATCATATTAACAAGACACAAAATTTCACAAAAAGGATTCAAAGAAGAGAATTTAACTAGGAACTTTTATGGAGATATTCTTATATGGCACATATATATTGGGGTTGAAAAGTTAGACATGTGATCATCACCCAATGAATATGTGCCACAAAGGAACTATCTTTCTAGAATGTCCAAATTTGATGTTTCCTAGCATTACCCAACTTCTAAGATGAGGAGAAAAACAGTGATGCAATGTTTCACCTTGAGATCTACATTTGAACGCAGATGCAAAACTCCACTAAATTCTGGATCCTTGAGAATTGTGCGCCATTTTCCCTGCCCATGCCTAAGGACACCAGCTTTAAGAGCAGCTTCTTCTTCAGGAGTCCACTTTTGTTTAGGCGCACCCATTAAATGATTATACTAAAACCTAGTTACATATATCATATACCAAAACACACATTGTTGTGAAAAGATAATCAGATAACATGAAAGGTATGCACTGCACCCATAAATGGATTATTCCAAACAAGTTCTAATGGAATCAAATAAAAAAACCTATAAGTCTTAATCCTGAATCAAAGGGATCCACTACCAACATGATAATTACAACACCTGCAGACTATGTGAACCATATTTGTTTAATTGTTTGTAACAATAATTTAATGCATCTACTATAGGCTAGTCGAATCCAGATCAGTGGGAACAAGAGTGCTCTAATGAAGCTCTTAAGCGGATTTACTTTACCATTGAAAACCAATTCAAGGTCCAAAAAAATGAATCACAAAATGAAATGTGTCTGTGGTCATAATTCCTAAGAGCGATCAAAGCTTTGTTGCATGTTTCTCATCATCATTTACAAATTTCAGAGTAAAAAGTCATAGAATAACAATTACGTACAGAGCAATCGAGCATATTTTAAAGCGCAGATGAAACATAAACAATCAAAAATGAGAACCTTCGATTCGGATCACCAAGGGGGTGGATGAATAATCAACATAAAATAAACACACAGGTGGGATGCGATTTGATGGTTGGATTGTTTTAGGAGTATTTCGATAAGAGCATTCGCTTCAGTGCCCTTACCATTTTGTACGTTTTTACGGTAACATCTTAGCTGAAAAGGGAAAACTACATTTGGCTGGGCAGTCAGGTAAGAACGGACCACTAATTTTACGTACTACTGCCTCCACTATTACCTTCGTCCCTATTGGTTAAAGAAATAATGACAAATCTACCAATGTGATAATAATGATAATAATATGATTAAATGACTTCGGTTCAAAAATATCATAGTAGGGGTGGGTTCTTTTCAAACGATTCAGTTTTCACCTAAAACCGAATGTCGAACCAAAGTAAAAAGTTTGGTTCGGTTTGATTCAGTATTATGTTCAAAAATTTGGAAGCATGGTTTGTTCAGTTCGGTTTATTTCGGTTTTTACCAAAATATTTTTGTTGATTAGAAAAATAGTAATTGGAAAAAAACTATGTCAAACTAGTATTAATAGTTATACAATACAAAAACATGCGTAATAAAAAAGAAAAAGAAACAAATGCACTTCCAAGTAATGAAAAAGCAGTTCGTACGGTGCAATTGGCCCACCATGAGCATCATGCTCCACTCCCAAAAACGTCGTAGTTTTGCACAATTTTAAAAAAAATCCGCGTGAACAGTACATGCGTGTACAGTAATTGTTTTTTTTGTCCCAGTAGCATGAATGATGTAACTCGCGTGTAAATTTTTAAAAAATGTTGTTAGATTACTCTCAATTTAAATTTTCATATTCTTTTTTTTTTAATTTTTTAAAGAATAAGAAATGATAATATTAATGGTCAAATTTATGGATTGACAAGTGTGAAAATTGAAATATTGCAACCAAAAAAGAAAGGATGAAGTGTTTCTTAATCAAACACATTCTTTTGTCATAATATTATTATTAAAAGAGAATCTTAGAATAGAAATGTTATTACGTTGGTTTTACTATTTTCTAAACATTAAAAGTTGAATATGAACTTTTGACTAGATATTGATGTTCTAAAACAAACAAATTTGAATAACATGTATGGTTTTAAACAAAAAAAAATTCTCCCTCAAAACTTAATTACTTACTTTAAACTTTTTCATCAATAATGTTCCTTGGTGATCAACTAATATGGTTTTAATAATATGGAGATGATAAGGAAACGTTGTTTGTCACGAATATGCATATCAAATAATACAGAGTATATATTAAGCCTTTCATACAAATATATTAGAGAACATTCAATAAATTGGAGAAAATCATTACACATTCCTCAAAATGAGGGCAATTGTTTGCTTAAAAATAGGAGTTCTTTTTTAGAGGGAATATATTAACTATTATTAATGAGATCATAGACTAGTACATTCAATATAAAATTAATTGGAGGATTCAAATCGCAAATATGACGCTGAGACAAAGAACATGCAGCTTGAGCTAACTCATGAGTTGCCCTATTCCAGTGTCTAATGTGAGTAAAAGAAATGTCAATAAAATTGGACCCTTTTTCATTTATATCACCCGCTAGCAGCCTCATCGTCAAAATGCTAGAACCTTGTTGAATTTGTGAGATAGCACCAGAAGCGTCTGATTCCACATCCACTACATCTCAATCTTGCTCGAAAGTAGAAGTAAGAGCCTCTTGGATTCCAATAAATTCTGCTTGCCACGTGATACCTTCCTGGCAATAGCATAGATACCCGCCACGAAATTCTCTTCCTCATTTATCAAAATCCAGCCAAGCCCGCAACGATAAACTCTCACAGTCGCGTTCACATTGAGCTTAAGTCTTTCGGGTTTAAGACGTTTCCACAATGAACATTCCTGTGATAATCTGCCAAGAGATTCTAGTTTATCATTTTTTGGTATTAGGACAATATTAATGTGATTAATATTCTCCGGTAATCTCCAGTCTCAAACGCCCCCTTACAGATATTAATAACACCTGGCCCCACCAAATCCCAATAATGTTGATAAAACCTCGGACTCATACCATCCAGGCACAACTTTATCATGATACATAGAAAACACATAGCTGATTTTACCTCATTACTATGAATAGGTCGCAACAATTCATGATTATGATGCTCGGTCAACCTCCTATGAACGCAGCTAAAAATAAATTCTCCTCCCCCTCAAACAAAGGAGAAAATCTCCGTGAAATAAACTCTGATCATGCGTCCAATCTAAACGTACTCTGTCACTCTCCCTGTCTCCCATCCACCTCGTGCCAAACAAAAACCTTCAACCTTATTCTTTCTTCTTTGTTGTTTCATTGAATTATGAAAATAGCGAGTGTTTAAGTCTCCTTCCTTTAGCAAAAAAATCCTTAGCTCTTTGCTTTCATAATTGGTTTTCCTTGTCAAGAAGCTCCAAATATTCATCATCTCGTCTACGTAAATATTCTAACCGCTTTATACAAAAGCTGATTCGTTTGCAGAAAGTTCCAACTTTGCCTCGCCCCCATTCAGGGGCGGAGCCAGAACACTGGGCCGGACTGGGCCGGTACAAAGAATATTTTTGGAAAAAAATTTAAACAAAAGTTTTTACACTAAAAATATAGAGATTTTTAAAATTTAGGCTGGGCCAGGGCCAGGGGTGGCCACCCCCTAGCTCCGCCCCTGCCCCCATTCCCAAACTGCTTTCCTGCACATCTCAACCTGGCTCATAATACCGCTGCTCTGACTAGAACCCCAACTCATAGCCACAACCTCACACAATCCTCATCCCGAAGTCATGTATTCTCAAACTTGAATTTCCTCTTCTGATTGACCCTTTGAGATGGAGTGAGCTTAATAAATAAAGCCAAGTGATCACTTGGAGCTTCCTCCATCGATTCTACCGCTACGTTCCCAAAAATATCCAACCAGTTCTCCGAAACCAAGATTTTGTACAATTTTTTCCTCCATCCAGTGAGAATTGAAGTACCCCTCCATCTTTTCCAGGTATATTGATAAACTTGAAAAGAGAAATTCTACAAACCATTGTCCCAAACTGTTTCCCTAAAACCCCTCAAAAGCCACAAAGGGTGGGGAATCCTTCCACGCTTCTCAGAGGCAAACATAATATCATTAAATATCTTACGTCAATTTTTTTTACCTATCTATTAAATGATCTTAGCTTAGATCCTTTGGAGTATTTTAAATAAATTCTTTAATTAATTATTTAAATATTCTTATTATTTACTAATCAAGTTTGTAATTAATCCAGGCTGATCTTCCCCAAGAGCTCACATTGATGGGAATGTTTGGCACCTCGATGTCGGCTCTTCGCCACCTGGGGCTGTCACTTTATTTTTATGGATAAAAAGGTTTTAATTGATAGAATCTAGAGGAAGCACGATACAATTGAAATTGAGAGGTTTTGGTGGTTTTTTGAGCCTGCATTTCAGGAACTTTAAAAATTGATAATTGCCGGCAAAGTTGTTTATTTTTTCTCAAAAGATTTCTTATTTTGGAAATTCCGTTTTATTTAAGATTCATATCTGTATAAATTTGAAGGGATTATTTATTTAAAACTTTAAAACGGCAGATTTAGTTAATTCAAAAAAGAATCCTTTTTTAACCTGTTAGGTAGTTTGCGTAGTTATATATAAAAGGATAATATTAAAACATAGAAATTGATAATAATTTACCAAAACTTAAGTAAATAACCAAATATTAGACCAGGACTCAGGGTAAAGCTGGTAGTTTTTCTTACATCTCCCTCTCCTGGGCCCCAGGCATCATATACACCTTCAAAATAAAACTAATGAAACTATTTTAGTAAAATTTAATTGTCTCAACTCCCGGGGGATTGGACCAAAAATTCTGGTCCTTTTTGGATTTCCTTCTTTTTGAATAGTTTGTCACGGGACTCTTCCTTCTCTTATCCATTCCACACGTGAAATTTCCTTTCCGTCAAGGCATCCCACAAGTAAAAATCTCATGACTCTCTTCGTCTGCTTCGCTCTGGACAAGCATAGAATCCCGTAAAACGCTACACTACAAGGGATCCCCAGTCTGTAGTCGCATAAAAGCATCAATGTAATGTACCGAGGAGTTTGTATTCTAGGCGTGAACATCATCCTTCAAAGTAAGGCCAACCTGCCCCTATGACCAACATTATCAACCAAAAAACAAGACTACATACCCACTTTCAGCATCACTTCTTCTACCTTAGCGGAACTTGAGAAGGTCTCCATTAAAAAACCAACACCGACCTCTTGCGATGGACCGAGTTCACCAACACTTGAACTGTCATAGGATTGCCGAGCCCAAGACACTTTCAACTAAGGCAACTCATTGTTCCCGGCATGCCTAAGAACCAGGACCCGCTGCTAACTCGTTTTTTGAACCCAAATTCTCCATGTCTTTATCGAAAGAGCTAAAAACCCTAGAGTCTAGCACCATTAGGGGTGGGCATAAAAACCCGTAGAGTTACACTTCCATATGTTAGAGTTACATTTATACACGATTCTTAGAGTTACATTTAATAATACATGTTGGAGTTAATTACATCTTGTTTCATATGTGCAACTTACACTTCCATATTTTAGAGTTATTCTTAGAGTTACATTTAATAATACATGTTGGAGTTACATCTTGATATACGCGATTTACATCTTCATGTGCTTGAGTTGCATTTTCTTATGCGCGATATACATCTTCATGTGTGCAAGTTACATTTTTGTATGCGCGAGTTACATATTGTGACTGAATTGCCTCCAAATTACATTTTGCATACACACAAATGACATTTTGACTTGTCTGAGGTTACATTTCACATACACGCGCGCGATTTACATTCATATATAAAACATGCCAGAATGACCACTAATAGAAAACATCTTCATAGTGACATTTTGTTAGTGACACTTTTTAATATAGTGTCACTAATATATGACACATCTTTTCATGGTGTATATCTGTCATTAATTTCTGACATAATAGTATCAACATCTCATTATGACGCCCATAATGTATTTTATTTTTTTTAACATTAATTTGTCATATTTAACACCTACAATAATTCAATTTTTTTCTCCTCTAAATTACTCCATATTTTAAAGGGCATAATAAAATGAGCATGAAAATTGATTATGTCTAAATTGAAAACCTTGTGCAGTGAAAAAAATATCAAGGCTAGCTCTAGTTTTGATTGCTGGAGTGAGCTTTCCATCCTTTTTTGGAAAATAGAATTTTATTGAA